CTGATTGGAACGTCCCTCAAATGTAAATTCACTGTGAACACACGCCACTAATTAATGTATGGCATACATTTACATAATCTTTCCTTTAAAAAAATTCCTCTTGTTGTCTTGTCTGTTTGAGAGGGAAGAAATTTCATCTGTGCTGTATGTTGTACATACTGCACATTTGACAATAAAGTTGTACTTGACGTGACTTGACTTTAAAATACATATCTACAGGCTGTGCTTGGCTTAGGACACGAAGTTGCAGTCCAATGGAGTCCATCTTTCGGAGCGTCCCCATACAACGTGAAACAGGAAGTGTCTCACGCAACAACATCCGGTGTGCCGTTCGCAATACTTTACAAAATAGAGCAGCTCTGTAACTGTAGAAACAGAAAAAAAATGTTACATGGCTCTTCAGGAGCTCGAATAGATGTTCTTGTGTGATGCTGAGTATTGCTGGTGTAAGTCTCGAGAAAAAAAAATAAAATCAAAAAATGAAAAACGTGTCTTTTCAGATAATTGACAGATTTAACCATGCAAAGTGTTTCAACAACCATAAGAATGCTGTTTACTGGGCAGGATTGGAAAAGATGGAATCCATCTTACAAACAGAATTACATTTAAGTTACCCGTTCAAATGACATTTTTTCACTATTGTGACATTTTTTCACTATTGTGGCCTGGATGGAGGTGAACCAGATATAACCTACAATATTCAACCACACATTGTTCAGTTTTATTTTCCCTCTTGAAAAGAGTCAATTTTTTTATACCGGTATCCCCAATTGAGTTGTACCGTTATGTTCAAAACCCGAAAAAACATTACTTCCTTAATATGGCCGACAGACGGCGATAATGCAACCAGGAAAAAAGAGAAACCACACGCATCCTGTTTTAGCCAGACAAAGATCTTATAAGGGCAGAGATTTTTACTAAATGTGGGAGGAAGTGTAGTATCACGTGACCATCGTTTCCCTAAAACATTTAGCAGTCCTGAATCTGGCTCTTACTTAAGCAGACTTGACAACATGGTCATGTTTTTAGCCATTAAGGAAATACCAACAAACAGTCTTTGAGATCCAAAGTCTAAGTAGCGTAATACCAGACTTTGAGGCGTAAAGTAGTTTTCGTCGAATCTTCTTTTTCGACGCAGCGTCTCTGAAGCACATACAGACCATTCGACCCATAGATCAACCCTTGTGTTGAAACAATGGCGGCTTTTAGTAAATATGTCACAGCCAAGAATTCCTCAATAGCAGGTGCCATTTTGCTGGTGTTATATGTGGTGAGAAACAGAAGACGAAAGCAAAAGCAGCACGGGTAAGTGGATCATGGTGTAACGCGAAAGTAATTTACGAAAACCTGAAGCGCGTTCTTCGATAGTTGGTCGTTGGTGACTTTGACAGGTGACCATCTAAGTGTGCTAAACTTCAAATTGCAGGACGGAAGGAACACAGATTTATATGTAGCTAGCGAAACTTCTCGTCAGCTCAAGTTGGCTAACCTTTTACTCTTCACTAGAGACTATCGAATGCTTTGTCAAATTGATATTGAGACTGGTCAACGCTAAAATGCATTCAGTTTGCTTATGCATGTAATCTCATGCCACTGAAAAGTGTAGTTTAATTAAACAAATCACCTCGAACACATCGTGATCAATGCCTATTTTCTATTTTTTTCCCCTTTTTTTCGATGCAAATGTCAGGCATTCTCAAGTTATCTCTGGTTAAAATATGCCAAAGGTCATTGTGCATTTTCAAATCACGGTTGGTTAATATTTGCATGTCATGTTGGCAAAGTCTAGCTCCATAGTGTGTTATCAGTTTCCCTAAATCATCAGATTAATTTTGCTTCGAAAATGTTATTAAGACAGTAATGTGGTAATTAACCGTATTTTGTATTAAAAACAAAAGGTACATCAACAGCATTTGAGTATTGAGCAAACAATGTAAAATGTTTTGTTAAAATGGGAAAAAAAATCACTTGGACTAATTTTTTTTCCATTTTCCTATGTTAGGTGTATTATATGTAGTGCTGTCAGCCAAGCGTTTTCAGCTTCACTTGTCAGCTTACTGTGTTTGCGTTTATGAAATACTGTAATTCTTACAGACTATGATGCGATGCCGTACTCACAACCACTTTTCCATCTCAATATATGCATTTATGCATATATGCTTATATTTATATCTCACTCTGTACTGTGTTACAGTCCATTTTTTAAATTGTTTAAAATGTTTTTTTCTTTTTGTGCATGGTAATGCTTGTTTTTTTTTCTACTTTCTCCTTTTCATGTATTTTGCTGCTGTAAATTTTGAATTACTCCATTGTGAGACAAATAACGTTTTTTCTTCTTCTTCTTTTTAATAAATAACAGCTCTTACAAGGGGATGTTAATGGCTATGTGCCAAAGGAAACAGTGGACAATATAGGATGATGGCACGACTGTCCGTGTTTTTATGTTTGATATATATATATATATATATATATATATATATATATATATGATGTGTTTGTCATTTTGTTTTATGTTAGCTGTTTTGTTACAGCTGCAGCTGTTGTGAAAGCGCACTAAAAAACAGGATTATTGTGTTGTTTTGTATTGTATTGTCAGACTAATTCTGTTCTTTTCTTGCAGCCCAAAACAAGGATCAGATTTGGTGCTCAACTTGGATGTAAGTGGATTTTTTTCAAATATTATAATAATATCACATCTCCGTGAGCCATCACTTTACTGTGTTTGCGTGTCCCAATAATCAGAGGAGCTAAATTGTCACCCATGGCAAACAAGTTCTAGGTGAGGGACCAGACAAAGCATGGCTCACAGAACCCTTATAATGAGTAATAACATAGGAACATGTTTTCCGGTGCCCGGACTCGGCTCACCGTGGCCGCCTTCTGGAGCTGGGCCTGGAGGTGGGGCTCGCTGGCGATTGCTTGCTGGCACAGCCCGAAACGGTAACGTGATTCCCTCTTCCCATGGGTTCACCACCAGTGGGAGAGGCCAATGGATCGAGTGCTCTGTGAGCTGGTCAGTGACAAAAGACAGGGATTTTGGCGGTCCAATTCCCGGCGACAGAAACTGGCTCTAGGGATGTGTAACGTCACCTCTCTGGCAGTGAAAGAGCACGAGCTCGGCTGCATGTCAGAGATGTTCTTTCTGACTAGATATAATCAGGCTCACCTCCACAAAAAGCTTGGACTCTGGTACCAGTCCTCTCGAGAAGGGTTGGACACTCATCCGCTCTATAGCATTGCCCACAGTGAGAGGTGTCGAGCAGGGAATGGGGTGCTGCTAACCTCGATTCGGGACGTTATGAGTCAGTGGTGAGAATATTTCGAAGACCTTTTAAATTCCACTGATACTCCTTCCATTGAGGAGCCCCAGCCTGGAGACTCTGAGGTGGGCTCTCCTATCTCTGTGTTTGAAATCACCAAGGTGGTTAAAGAGCTCCTCGGTGGCAAAGACTCGTGGGTGGTTGAGAACCGCTCAGAGTTCCAAAAGGCTCTGGATGTTGTGGGGCTGTCCTGGTTGACACGCCTCTACAACATCGCATGGCCATCAGGGACAGTGCCTCTATATTGGCAGACCAGGTTGGTGGTCCCCCTTTTTAGGGGCCCGTAGGGTGTGTTCCATTTATAGCGGAGTCACACTCCTCAGCCTACCTGGTAAGGTCTATTCAGGGGTGCTAGAGAGGAGTCCATTGGTTAAATATCAGAATCTGGAGGAGCCATGTGGTTTTCGTCCTGGCTGTGGAGTAGTGGACCAGGTCTACACCCTCCGCAGGGTCCTTGAGGGTGTATGAAAGCTCAATCAACGAGTCGACATGTGTTTAGTGGACTAGGTGAAGGTATTCATCTGTGTCCCTCAGGACATTCTCTTGAGGGTGCTTCGGGAGTGCGACGTAACTGATAAAGACATTTCGGTCCCTGTACCGCCAGAGTTTGGATTGCATTGCCAGCAGTAAATCGGATTTATTTCCTCTGAGGGTTGGACACCACAATGCTTGCTCTTTGTCATTTGTTTTGTTCATAATTTTTATGGACAGAATTTCTTGCCATAGCCGAGGCGTGGAGCAGGTCAGGTTTGGGAGCTTCAGAGTTGCATCTCTGCTTTTTGCAGATGATTTGGTACTCTTGGCTTCTTCAAGCTGTGATCTCCAACTCTCACTGGACCGGATCGCAACCGATTGTAAAGCGCTTGGGATGAAAATCCACCTCCAAATCTGAGGCCATGGTCCTCAGTCGGAAAAGTGTGGAACGCCCCCTTTCCACTTCTTGGATGAAATCCTGCCCCAAGTGGAGGACTTTAAGTATCTTGGGGTTTTGTTCACGAGTCAGGGCAGATGGAGTGGGAGAACGACAGACGAATCAGTGCGCCGTCTGCTGTGATGTGACTCTATATTCTGTCATGGTGAAGAAGGAGCTGAGCTAAAAAAAGCGCACTGCTCTCGATTTACTGCTCCCTCTACGTTCCTACCCTCACTTATGGTCATGTGCTGTGGGTCATGTCCAAAAAACAAGATCCCGGACACAAGCGACTAAAATGAGTTTCCTACGCAGGGTGTCCAGGCTCTCCCTGAGAGAAGGGTGAAGAGCTCGGCCACCCGGTAGGGACTCAGAGTTGAGCTGCTGCTCCTCCACGTTGAGAGGAGCCAGATGATGTGGCTGAATCTAATTAGGATGCCTCCTGGACGCCTCCCTGCTGGAGTGTTCCTGGGAGGTCTCACTGGCCATAGTACCCAGGACACACTACTAGAGAGAGTAGGTTTCCCAGCTTGCCTGGAAACGCTTTGGGATCCCTCCGGAAGAACTGATGGCTGAAGTTGCTGGGGAGAGTGAAATCTCAGCTTCCCTGTTTAAGCTGCTGACTTTGTGACCTAACCCCGGATAAGATGAAAATGATGGATGGGTTGATGGATGATCATATCAATTAAAATTATTCTATTTTTCTTAATTGCAATTTTATTTGTCATGTCTTTCACACAGAAGGATGGCAAGAAAGACCGTGCAGCAGTCGACAGAATTTTCTTTCTTCGAATTTTACGGATATTGCGGATCATGGTACCTCAGATTTTTTGCATGGAGGTAGGAATTCATTCTTATCTTGGCTTTTGTTTTTCTATAACATTGATTCTCAACCAGTGTGCCATGGTACATAAGTGCGCCTTCAGAGATTATCAGGTGTGCTGCAGAAAATGATCCAATTTGAATTATTTTGACAAGAAATGTACTATTGTTAATGTGTATTGGTCAACCGCATATAGTAACAGGCAAACAATGAAACGCTCTTCCACTAGATGACCAAAGGTACATAATTAACCTATTTATCCACGTAAAAAAAAATTACTAAGTGGTGTGCCATAATTTTTTTGATATGAATGTCATAATGCTGAATTTGAAAAAAAAAGACTGACATACATAGATTTGGAATAACAGGCTTTATTCATAAATCACATATTTACAAGTACCCTGTACAATATTAAAGACATTTAAAAACAAGGTCTTGAAATAAAGATAGCTTATTAGAACATGCAGTGCAAAAAAAAAATCTTGATTAAAAAAAAAATGCTTTAAAAGAAGTCAATCACAATCACAGGCATGGGAAAATAATTTGTTTTTTTAACCTGGACTTGAAAGCTTTCACACTTTGGGTTGACAACAAATTCCTTAATAAACCCTTTTATTGTTTAATGAATCTTTGGCCCAAATGGCTAACATTGTACTTGTTCAGGAACCAAGTGTTCCATCAATGACTCTCTTCAGTGTCTTTTGGTGGGTGCAAAGGATCCTTTCTCCCAGTGACAAAGGTCATCATGGTGACATGCTCCACTTTGTCAACTTCTTTCTCCTACATACCCTGCAAATGCACAAAGAATCAACAATGCGATTAGAGGCATATTTTCCCGTTCGCACACGAGCTGGGCACGTCACGTCTATGGATTTCACGACTGGTTAGAATGAAGAATGAATGAATGAAGACCAGCTGATATTTTTGAAGGAAAATATGTAAGCCTTTGGCAAAATCGTTGACTGTTGCTCACAGTTGTTCTTTCAACAGAACAATCACTGCAGCAGGTTAATTGAATATGAAAATATACAAGTTCAAAATTTGTATATTTTCATATCGTCGTGTCTGTGTGTGTGTGTGTGTGTGTGTGTGTGTGTGTGTGTGTGTGTGTGTGTGTGTGTGTGTGTGTGTGTCCTTAAAAGGGTTTTTACGTTGTATTGCATAAAAATCTCACTTTTATCTGATGATAAGGTAAATTTCTGTTTAGAAGGAGAAATACTTTGTTGCTTTGCACTTTGTGTATGCTAGAATATTAAGCTTGTTGTCACATTTTTTTTTTATCTTCAAAACAGTCAATCTGAGCTAGTTTTAAAATAAAATCCAATGGAAGAATTTTTTTTTCGGCATGACCTTTGACAAGAATAGGTTTATTTTCAGAAAAGTATTGTATCAAAATATAATATCCAAATATCATATCAAAGTCATCTTTATGGTATTGAATTGTATAGTTAAAAAAAACCCCGATACTTCGCTTTGTTTTGACTCATGAGGCCTTCTATTATATTGGTCAAAAAATGTTTTCGAACACACCTATTTACTGACATGTATAAAGGTAAAGATTTCCATAATATTTGCTGGTTTGTGTACATGTGTAAAACACATCATTGAACATCAAGTTGCACCACAAATGACAGATCTCTCAAAAATTGATAAGTTGGTTCCAAAAGTCAAGGTCACTGGCGCCATTTTGACTCAGCCTTAGTCGGTGAGCAAGGACGGAATGATAAAAAAGCACTATCATCAAGAGTGTTTTACAATCTGTGAGATTTCTTCTCTTGTCACTGTTTTCATGCTAGACTGGATACCTGATCCTTATCGCCGTGATGTTGGTGGCAAGGACCTACTGTGACGTATGGATGATCCAGAATGGAACCATGATCGAAAGGTCAGGCTGTTTTCACAGTTGTGATGGTGCTGTATTTTACATCATAAATACTTTATATCTGCCATTGGCTGGTAAGCAGTCCAGAGTGTGTCCCATCAATGGCCCAATGAGAGCTGGGATAGGTTCCAACCATCTTATCATTCGGAAGAAAATGAAGTGTCTATAAAAAGTGTCTAATTTTTTGAGGATTGTATCGTGTGTTTGTATCAATCCATCCATCCATCCATCCATCCATTTTCTGAACCGGTTTATCCTCTCACAAGGATCGCGAGGCGTGCTGGAGCTTATCCCAGCCATCTTCGGGCAGTAGGCGGTGGACACCCTGAACCGGTTGCCAGCCAATCACAGGGCACACATAAAACGAACAATCATCCTCACTCACAAGCACACCTAGGGACAATTTAGAGTGTTCAATCGCCTGCCATGCATGTTTTTGGAATATGGGAGGAAATCTGAGTACACACACAGGCATAGGGAGAAGATGCGAATTCCACACAGGAAGGCCGGAGCTGGAATTGAACCGGTTCAAATGGTTAATGCATTGGCCACATAGTGCAGAGATGAAGGGTTCGATTCCAGCTCCGGCTTTCCTATGTGGCGCTTGCATGTTCTCCCCGGGTCTGTGTGGGTTTTCTCCGGGTACTCCGGTTTCCTCCCACATTCCAAAAACATGCATGCGAGGTTAATGGAATGCTCTAAATCAGGGGTGTCAAAGTCAAATGGACGGAGGGCCAGATAAAAATTTTTGCTGCAAG